CGATTTTGGCCGCCGAGGGGCTCAAACTCGCGCCACACAACGTTAGGCCCAGAAGCATTGACCACTTGACCAACGCCACCGGGTCTCACACGATACCTCAGTTGTTGGCCGTTTGGACAGGCGGCGTTTGCTGCCCATCGCATCGGTCTGCTTGGCCTTGATGCTTCAACTTGCTTTTCACATGCTTGGTCGGCATAGTCAACGACGGTGATTCGTGTAACTCAAGTTCGAAGGACAGGGACTCCCATGAACCGAGAACTCATCTTCATCTTTTCACTTCGAGCTCGGTTACTTCGAACACCACGCTTGCTCTAGTCGCAATAGATTTGTATCTGTCGACCCGATCTTCACTGAAAATGGCGTGCGGGAGAATGACGTTCGATTTCTTTTTGCTGGTTGTGGGAACCTTGCCAACGTGAATACGGCTATTTGTACGCCAATTCAAATCCTTGAGGCCTTTCCACTCGTCCTCGGTGAAGAAGCTTGGCAATGGTTCACTGGTCAACTGTCTCCCACATTTCAGACGAATACCCCATTCATCTTTTTTGACAGCACTGAAGACGTCACGAATTGTCGCGACGTAAAGCATGGCGAATTTCTGCGCCAACGCATCCAAGAACCTGCGACACGGATTCGGTGCTAATTCTCTTGTATCGCAGTTGCTTCTGATTGAAGCAGCTTGCTGCTTAGCTAGAATCACCACCAGCACGTGAATCTGTCTCGACTGTGGGTTAGGCATATTATTTTTTTCAGCACGTACATCAACGAATTTTTTTTCTGTAGATTTGGTCCTCCTTCAATAGCGCTTCGATGAGAGCCGTCTTTTTTTCTCGCCCTTCTCAGCTTCGTGATATCTTCCAAGCAAAACATCAGTCGGGCGCCGCGATCCGTCTAAGCTAGATAGAGCTCCAAATTGTCTGCGTTGATGTCCTTGAAATCGATCGGCTTTTCCGCCTTGATCGCCTTCTTCAGTTCCCCGCCAGACTACACCATGTCGATGGCCACAGAAAACGCGCTGCCCGTCAAGCCGACTACCGCACAAACAAGCTTCACCATATTTCTCGAGCCGGCAAATTAGAATGAGGTAAAAGAAAGGGGAATTTCTGGCATACTTAAGCGGAAAAGAAGTCGTGTGACATAGATTTTCAAATGATGATACGCCACGTCGCACTGGTCCAAACTAGTCCATGAGCCGGCAATACCATGGTTATCGCTTGATGATTGTATAATTAATTTTATACTCCATGTACTTAAATGCGCTAAAGTTTGGCCTAATTAAATAATGACGAGTGTAGTAATCGTAGATGACCATCACCAGTGTTTACCCGATATCCACTTGATTCTTTTGATATAACTCAAATTTGCTGTCTTTGAAAAATTACTGAACATATTGTGATGACTTAGGCTATACGCCAGCGTCGTCTGCCCTTCTCACATATCCACGTCATACATGTGGATGGAGACAGCTGAACAACTACTGGAGCAAGGCTACGATGCGTTTTACTATCAAGGGGGCAATTTTAACGTTAGACTGAGCCATGCCGCATTTCTTGAGCTTGTACGCAATAGACCCAGTGAATTTAGAACGCATAAACGACGAGGTAGTTCAAGAAGTCAAAGGTGGGATTCTGAGTGGAAATTGAGATTCGGTCGAATCAAATTAGCTAAACAGAATGTGATTTTTTGTAGTGGAGCTAAAAGACAAGTTCTCAACGAGCAGTTAGAAATTCGAGCACAAATCAACGAGCTAGAGCTCATTTGCCATAGTCTAGCGAAGAAATCGCCGAAATGTAACATCATTGTGTCCAGATCAGGCAACGAAAGGACTCAAATTAGGCTATTATACGTGTCTATGACGAATCTATCGGACACATCGTCTATTATCGGAGATGCGAGCACAGATAGAGCAGTGTCGGCACGAGTCTTATCAACGACAGAGACATACCACTCTGTTATGTCGAAACAAGGCGGTAGTACGGACGATGAGGTTGTCTCTCGGTCAAAGCTGTATTTAATACTACCAAGTGCAGCAGGGATGCCGTAGCTCTTTGCTTAGAGGGAGCCGACCTTACTTTCTTTACAAGATCCAGTACAAGTGCAGCGGACAGTTGCGGTAGAACCGCCAATATCTAAAACCCCAGTTTTTTCTGATAAATATAGTAATATCTAATTAATATATAAGAACCTCATCAATATGCGTTTCTCCTGTCACGTGATGGCTTCTTGGTACGGTGTAGCCACATCACTGTGTGATTACATCAACTTGTGTAATGCACACTTATGCACGATCACACCATCTTGTGCGACCCGCCCTTTCATACAAGGGTATGTGTACCCCGTTACAGTTTTGATATTTGCTTTGACGCGCTAGGCTTAATTCAGACGAGAACAGTTCCAATGCTCACAAAAGCATCGTGCAAATACGTTCAACAACCGAATTCAATAATTATAAATTAAGCTGAGGCTCTGACCATGCCGAATACACGTGCATATTGCAGTTGAAACTGTCGAACGTTCTAGAGCGAGTTCTACGCTTTCAGACTTTTTAAATCTCACTTGGAGGTCTAAGAACCTTGAAGGTGTACGGTTACGTCTTGTTTTAGAACTTTTCTAAGGATATGATTCCATACGAGGTATGGCAACGTTCAAATTCCATGAGTTATGAATCGTCAGTCGAAACTTTAGAAACAAAAAGTGCTCTGCCAATGGACCTTTGCTGAATAATACATTCTACGCTGCTAGACAGCTAATGCAGTTTTTGCTGCGTGTAAAGGTTTTTATGTAGGACACTAAAGTATAACGATAGTTGGCAACGATTTTGCTAAGTGGATTTAGCAGAGCTTGCAAGAAAATTATGGCAATGAGTCGTGGTATGAGATTGTGAGATATAAAAATGTCGCATGCCGTTGTTCAGATAGGTATATCAAATAAAACTGCATGTCGTAGCTCAGAGCTCACCTCTGATAGGAAGACAAAGAAAGAAAAAGAAACCAGGTGACTCTTGTGTCCTATTTAGTGCAGCGAAAGAGCGAAGGTGCGTCGCAATATCATGAATCAGGCCCTGTAGCTGTAACTCACATTTAAAAGGGTTGCATCTTTATAACGATGATTCGTCCTTGCTACGATATAAAAGGCACTGCTAAGTCTTTATTATTGCGCATTCATCGTGCACAGCAGGGAAGCCCTGATGAGTACTGTTGGCATCGATGAAGAGCTGAGGTGATGAACTGCGATGAATGGTCCATAAGTCCAAAAGTTACGATATTCTCAACACCTTTAGTGCACGAAGGGAGATAGCTATCCAGCACGACCCAAATGACACCCAACGTGTGGTGATGAGGACCACAACTACACTATAGGAAACAAGAACCATGGTATCCATTGGATAGATAGCTACCCATGAAGAGAAAGGACTCACTGCCTGGTGAGTGTAATAGGTATTACACGTACCCTTGATGAAAGGGCGGGTCACACATGATGGTGTGACTGTACATAGGTGTGGATTACACAAGTTTGTGTAATCACACAGCGGTGTGGCTACACCGCAACAAGAAGCCACCACGTGGCAGGATTTTTAGTGGTTACGCATATTGATTAGGCTTTACTATATTAATTAGGTATTACAATATTTATTGGGAAAACTTAGGGTTTTATATATTGGCGGCTCTGCCGCAACTAAAACAATTCAATACAGTTTCAATTTTGAATGGAAGGGTTCCTTTACCTTTGTCAAGGTTTTCAGTACTATTGGAGGCAGCGGATTGCAATTCGCTTCACTCGTACTGGTTCTTGTAAAGAATGTAAGGTCGGTGACCTTAGCGTAGCTTCCTCTAAGCAAGGAGCTAAGGTAGCCCCGCTGCAACAGCAGCCGGAGTCGCAACACCCACGCGCGAATCAGACAGGATTCAAGCTGATTTTTGAGACGATAGCAGCTGAGACTTGTCGAGTAGCAGTCATGCATCAAATCCAGTTGAATAATACCGATCAATACAACCGAACAGGACAAGCCAGTTAGAAAGTGAAATAACCAACATTTGTATAGTAGAGCCGCAACCAGTCGAGATGTAAATGTCTTGCTGTCGCACACCTCGAAGGAAGTTTGGAAGCGGTTCAACCAGAACTTGAAATGGCAGCTAGGGGATAGTATTCTTTGTCTCACGTCACGTGAAGAGAAAGGATTTCTTTTTTTTACCTCACGTCACGCGAGGAGACAAGGCAACCTGGAGCGAATCGCTTCTTGTCAGATTTGCTTCAGCATCAGCAAAATGAAGACGAACGCAATTGCGAAACAAAGGACCACAACTAACGCGCTCCAACACCCAAAACAACTACGTCAAGAAACGAGCGCGGATCCCTCCTCGCCACGTTTTTGGAGTAAACGTTCGATATTATGCAAGAAAGGCGCATGATGATGAAGTATTCCACAAATTGAGCCTTTATATTAAGGCAAGTAGACATAATGCGGCGTAAACAGCTGCAACATCCAATGATTGAACGTTGCTAGTGCGGTAGATTGCGCATGTATAATCAGCAATCCCAGAGCGAACCCGCTCGGAGTATGTATTGCAATAAAAAGAATGTCAATTTCTTTCATTATCAGTTAATAATATTTATTAACTAGGCCATGAGCACTAAAGAGAGCGAACCCGACTATGCCGTTCTGCATCAAGCCCTTTAAGCTCAGATTAAAGCACGCAAATTGCAGCACTAGCCGTTAGCATTTCTGGCACAGACTGTCGGTGTCGAGACGAATTTACACTCTCTTATACTAACCTTGCTTTGTTAGGAGTAAGTTTTTATCGTTACAACGTTCCATTGTATGGGCCACCGGCTAATTAGGCAATATTTGTATCCAGGAATCAAGTCGATTTTGTTCTTAATAGTTATGCAAAGGGGATCTTGTCAACGCTTCGTGAATACACTCTTCAAAAACAAATAAGATTAATTCAAAAAGCTTGTTAATCCCCCTTTCATACTTCAAATCTTTTTGTGTACTCAATCATTGAGTTATTCATGACGGACAGTGAGCTCATGTCCTCTTCAATATGAATCATACCCATTCGGTGACTTCATCTTTTTGCAAATATTTTCGAACATACCCTAGGGGTAGCTCCCCACGCTCGACGAAAGCTTCACTCTTCATGATCGGAGAGACTTTAGTACGAGTTAATGACCCTTTTCGCTACCAGCACAAATAGTATCACTGCTTCGTACGGTGCGCTCGTCGCAAGAGTGCGCTGGATCATCCCTACCGCTCATTTGTGAGAAGAAATATTCTCAATTACTTCAGGGCCTGGTACTTATGTTTGCAGCAACACATCCGTTCGCCTCCATTGTCTTTCGTTCGGGAGATTGCTGTACATAGCCGCTCTGACTCGTATTCACGGAGTCATAACCGATAGATAGTCACCTATATACGATGCACCAGAAATACTCGCTTGAAACCCATTACAAAAATTTACTGATTCTTGACTCAGCAGGTACACATTTGGAGACATCATTACACGATCGCAACTTTCTGTCTCATTAGAAGGCATCTGCTCACAGTCGTTTCTTCCTTCCAAACATCATTCGACCATCGTTGGTCGTCAATGCGAACAACACCATATCCTACGTCTAAGCTTTTGCAGCTTTATGCTTTGCCAAATCCGTTTAAATTCCTAACGGATGCGGGTCAATAGCTCACCACGACACTGTCGGGATAATTCGGTCGAAGTGATGTTTTCGACATCCAATCGATATGCAGCTCAAGGTGTTCAGGCTCTAAACCTATAAGCCTATAAGCCTTCGGAATAATAGCTTTGCTATTTCCAAAACCTTGGTCGCGTTGGTAGACAAAAATTTTGAATACAGTGATCGCCTTAAGCCTATATTCAGAGCTGTGTTAGTTCAGCTATCAGCCAACTCCATAGACCGAATTTCCAAAATCACCTTCTTTCAGATATCAGTCTTGCTGGTGATAGAGACAGGCTTATTGAACACATAAGTGTTGACGAGATTTGAATAGAAGTAGCGAGTATCACTAAGATCGATCTTGCTTACAAGTTCGTATCCAAGAGCAATACTTACCTTAAAAGCACTTGCCTGGCTCAAAAGAATGTTCTCGGGCTTGTTGTAAAAATCAGAAGCCTCGATACCCTCATATAGGTTTGATTCCATGTGATTACCATTGTAAAAACGGTACGTCGGATCAGCCGCGACAAGTGTTTCTCAAGGGTTTCATTCGAAATATTGTACTGCTTAGCTACCAATATCTGGTTGATTGGGCGTGAAACGTTGCTTACATAACCATCTTACCCATTCTATCACGCACCTTAACACGGTAGCTACTACCCCATTCGATAGCTTGGATATTTAATCGCTTTAAACCTTCGAGCTCGTATGCAAACATGTTGCCTATATAAGCTTAGGCATATTCTTCTTCGTAGATATGACTTGATAATATTTTGACCTTGTATCAGGATCGACTTTCTATCTAAGTCATTTTTGAAATATTCTGAGATTAATTAATTTGAACATTTGGCTTTATACCTTTCTGGAGGTTTTAAGGAAAAAGAAGGATGGTGAACAAGAAAATTTACACGATACCTCAGTTGTTGGCCGGTTGGACAGGCTGCGTATGCTGCCCATCGCATCGGTCTGCTCGGCCTTAATGCTTCTACTTGCCTTTCACATGCTTGGTCGGTATAGTCAATGACGGTGATTCGTGTGACTCAAGGAGAAAAGACAAGGACACCCACGAACCGAGAACTCATCTTCATCTTTCACTTTGTGCTTGGTCGCTTCAAACACCACGCTTGTTCTAGTCGCAATAGATTGTATCTGTCGACTCGATCATCACTGAAAATGGCGTGCAGGAGGATGACGTACGATTTTTCTTTGCTGGTTGTGTAGTTGGAGCCACCACCAGCACGTGAATCTGTCTCGATTGTGGGGTAAGCATATTGTTTTCTTCCAGCACGTACTCCAGCAAATTTTCTGCCTGTAGCTATTGGGTCCTTCTTCATTAGCGCTTCCATGGGAGCCGTCTCTCCCTTCTTCAACTTCTTGATATCTTCCGAGCAAGACGTCAGTCAAGCGCCGTCTTTCTTTGCCAAAGTGAGCTCAAATTTGCTGGCAGCAAAGTCAAACTACTCCTTTTCCGCAATCGCCTCCTTCAAGTCTCCCACCACCTGGCTTGCGTCGATGTCCACGGGGAAAGCGCTTCATGCCACACCAACTATCGCACAGACAAGCTTCACCATCTTTCCTCGAGCCGGCAGATTCTGGCTGAGCAAGAGCTTCTGGCGTACTTAAGCGGCAAAGAAGGCGTATTGACATAGATTATTGATTAATGATAAGACGCCACGTCGCGCTGGTCTGATTGAGGTAAAGTCTGCCCTCGTGATCCGATAAAATACCACGTCCTCAAAATAGAATTTTATTTACCAATTGCTTTAGAAAGGCAAGCAGTCACTGCATCCAAAGATCTCGCTTGCTTTAGTGGTGCATGCGACGAGGTTGAAGTGCACCTTGCACAGAGGAAGCCTTGACACAAAGCGTCCATATTTACTGTGGTAAATACTGGCGATTCACCTTCCTTGAATAGACTGGCAGGTGAACCAGTTAAATGCTACGCAATTTTTCTTGATGCAGTCTATAGCATTGCATACTCGCTTTTAATGAAGGCAGAAGAGCTTTTGGCTTGGGCAAGAGGTTTCAGTAACTTCAAAACAAGATTTTAAATTGTTTGAGTGGTCTTGAAATGATATTGCCTAATCTTTAGATCAGAATCGATAGGCAGAAGCGGTAGTGAGTCGCTGTCATAAGAAAAGACAGAATGAAGCGAAAGAATAGTGCAATCACCATAGTGAAGCAAATGTCTTTGTTTCGACGGGCCGAAACGATTCTCCGCTGTGATCTTTCTCATAGGACGGTAAATAGCAGCTATAATCTTGCGTCTTCTGTGACAGATCTATAGAAGTGTTGACGCTACTGGGTGGTGTAGTCTGTCGTGTTTGTTGTGGTCAAATTGAAGGGAGACCGCGAGTCGCAAATATAGTGGTCAGGCCTTGGAGTCACGAGGGGTTTCAAAACCTTGTACCTTTGTAATGGCTCTACTTAGTCGGCTTTACCGTGCACCGCGAAGCACGGGTGGGTGGAGCGAATCATTATTGACCCGTTTGTAAATGGAGCGACCGGGGCCGTCCAAGAAGTTGTAAGCCTATCCTCAATACTTCCAGCAGATGAAAGAGTTGTTTTTTGGCAAAAAAACAAGAAATAATAAAACGGCGAGGTCACCGAATTTGAACAACTATGTTTATTTTAAGGTTGACTTCATCCCGTAAGTGGGATGGGTGAGAAACGGTTAACCTCTTTTCGGTGGGGACTTTCTGTGCTAACACGGCTCGTGCAAATTGTCTCATTGCGCTGAGTAATTCTTGCGGGCTGTCTTGGAAGCGGTTGTCATGCAACAGCAACTGTTACATCCATCAGCGACATTCAATTGTCTGGTATCTTAGCTGCTAACGCCACATATTGTAAATCATCCTCAACAATTCCTGCGTTTACATTCGTGCAGAGCACGGAAAACCGATATGGAGAACCACATGGATCACATGCGATAAATGCTTAAATCGATGTATTTTAAAGATTCTCGTTGGAGAGACAAGTGTGTCTTTCAAACGGACGAGAGTGCTTTTATCTGTTGTTTCGTAAAGAAACATGGCCTGCGTACAGATCGCGTCAAGATAAAAGTCGGTGCTCCTGTCTTGA